TGAGCTGGTTTTGATCCTGCTTCTTCCACTCTCTGCTCCGGGCCTGATTCCTTGCCATGAATTTCCAAACAAAATCTTTCTGTGAAGTATCTAGCACAGTGTTTCTCAACCTTGGCAACTTGGCTGGGGAATTCTGGGAGTTGAAGTCCAGACATCTTCAAGTTGCCAAGGTTGAGAAACACTGTGCTAGATACTTCACAGAAAGATTTTGTTTGGAAATTCATGGCAAGGAATCAGGCCCGGAGCAGAGAGTGGAAGAAGCAGGATCAAAACCAGCTCAGCAAAATTGCTGTTCCTCCTTACTCTAGTTCTTTGCTCTCCTCTTGCTTTCTGGATAGGAAAATAGCACTTACTGTGGGAATTCAGGATCATAGAGCGTGGGTTGAAGAATTCCAGCTGGGAACACTGAAGAAATAAGGGCACAGGTTAGCGGAGAGAAACGTAAAGCATCTTGTCCAAACGGCTTCCCAAAATAAGAGACGCAGCAAAACTCTGCAATGCAACTGTTCTTTACGGGGTTAACTGATTTTGAAACAAGGGAGGAAACCGCCATGATTTTATGACCTGGTTTGGCTGGGTGACCACCTTTAGGTGGCTGGAGGACCCAACATTTGGGACGAAGAAGGATTGCAGGGGTTGGGAGTAAAGATGAAAAGTGGACAGGACCATTTTTTTCCCCTCTCCCCCCAGTTTTGGAAAGTGATTTGAGTCGGTTGTTCAATCAAGTTAAGACTGAACGTACAGAATGTCTGCTAGCTTTGGGGTGCTTATGATAAATGTAGTTTATCTCAAGATGGCGGGGAAACGGACCACTGATTTTTTTGCATCTGGGGCTGAGAAGAATTCTGGAGTTGCAAAAAAAAAAGGGGGGGGGGATTTGGGAACCTTCCCAATTCTCTTAGTGCCTGCCATTAAATCTCAGCTTTCAAAAAGGAGAAAGTGTCTGCTTCTCAAGTTATAGATCGGTATTTCAGACAGGTAAAACGGGTTTCTAGCAGGACTGGCAAATCTTCTCCAGCGATTTTTCAAAGGGGGTGGGTTTTCTCCCCTACTTTGCACGCTGCTATGCAGGTGCAGAGAGCAGCTCCGGAAGCAGCTGTGGGCCTCTGGAAAAAGATGCGCAGCTTTTAGGGTCTGAAAAGGGCAGCTCTGTGCGGCTTTTGTGAGTTCCAAAGCAGCCCCTTCGAAGGATTTGCAAAGCCCTAGTTTTAATGTCCCTGGGCATGAGAGAGCAAGGAAAAATGCTAAATTAGATATTTGTTGTGCCCAGAATTCTTTCTTCAGAGCCACTTCATATATACATCTACTCATATTCATATTCATATTCATATATATATATATATATGAGAGAGATACCCATGACTTTTGGAGTGATGGAGGGAGGGAGGAAGGGAG